GATTAAAACACAAATTTGGTCAACAAATCCTATATTCTTTTTATTTTTTATACTATTCTAAATTTAGATAATTTATAATAATAAAATTTAATTTTGTCTATTACTATTACTAGTATAAATTTTAATTAATTAAAAATTTTATTATTCAAAAAATTTAAAGAAAAATAATGAATAAAATTAATATAAATATCAAATTACTAAAATAAACTAATTAATAATTTATTATATAAAGTTTAAATATAAAAAAAAATTCTTTTTTTCTTTGATAACCTTATTAGTAACTTTATAGATTTGTAATATATACTGTAATTATTACTATATATATTTTTAATTATTTATATTTAAATCTAACATTATCTAGCTACTTCTATTATTACAAAAGCAACAAACTCTTCTTTTAATCTCAAGCTAATATAAAACTACTTCTTAAAATACCAAACTCTTAAAGCTATAGTCATTATCTTTATATTATATATATATAAATTTTATTTAAAAATTTTCTACAATAGTAAATTTTTTTTTTTTGGCTTTTTAAAAGTTTTGCCAAAACTTAAATAATTAAAAAACTTTATTTAATTAATAATGAAACAAAATATTATCTAAAACTATTCAAAAATTGTTTTTTTTAATTGCAAGCCCAATATTTCCTGGCTGTGATATACATGCCCAGAAGCAACTTGTTATACTGATCTGTATACAAGTTAGATAAACTTTGTCAGCTCATCAAAAGCTAATCTCTTCAATTCTTCTTTCTTTACTAAAAGCAAAAGAAAGTAATAATCTTATATTCACAATACAAAACTACCTATTGATAAACAAAAAGAAATATATCTAAAAAAACAACTAAAACAAAAGAGAATTTCAAAGAAAAAAAAAATAGAGAACAACAAAACATAAAAAAGAAAAAAAAACAAAAAGAAAAGCCCAAAGGCTAACAAAGATAAAAAGAAATCTACCTCTATTAAGAAGTATTAATTAATCTAAGTGTTGACAAATGAAAAGAAGAGTTGTATTATTATAATTTGTGCCAAGTTTTAAAAAAAATTATATAACAAATACAGTGTTTTTATATCTCAACTATAAAGCTATACTTTAAATATTTTTTTGATTATCAATTAACTTCAGATACTTATTTAACTAGAGACCCCAATTCAAGTTATATTGCTAATCTTTTGGAAGAGATAAATCAAATCCACATTTTTTGTTGAAAATTTAGGAAAACTAGCAAGAAGATAAAAGGGACCATGGAAGTGACCACTTGTATCTAAGGAAAGTTTATATATCTTTTCAAAAGAAATACAACATCTATTAACCTAGGAGTGCTCTACTTTTGTTTATTAGTGAATAATAAACTCTAAACTTGTTGACAGGTAGTATATGAGAACTACTTCTAAATAACAAGTGCAATAAGTAATAAACTTTAAGGCTGTTAACAAGTAATATGTAAAAATTATTTTTAAATAACAGCTGCCAACTTATAGTTTCAGAGTTATTTCTAGCTATACAAGAGTTATTATGTATTTTAAAAAATATATATTTAGATTTTTTTGGTACAAGTGATTGTCAGAAAGAGTTGATAAATAGAAAATTCATTTAAGTGGATTTAGAATTTATACTAAAGCCCTATTTTTGGGTCAATGTTGATTTATTATATACATTTAACCTACGAGACATATATAAAAAATTTATATTAGATTAAAATTAGAGTTAAAGTTAGTGGTTAGATATAGCTTAGGTAATTTTATAAAGATACTAAATAAAAAATTCTTAATTTTAGTCATACAAAATTAATTTCACATTACACCTATTCGGGTATTTGTAAAAAAAATTTTTTTTTTAAGAATATTATTTTCAACTGTTTTGAAAAAATGATAATTAAATTAATAAAAATTTTAAAAATTAATTTTACAAGTTTATAAAATTTAGTTACTAAATTTCTTTAAATTATGTCTTAAGAAAATTATATTAGAGAAATTTGATAGTTTTTATTAATATATAATATAAATTACAAAAATAAAAAAATAATTAAAAAATAAAAAAAGCTTTTAACCCAGTAATATTAATAGTTAAAAAAAATATATAGTTCGAACAGTTTAAATTTACTTATCAGTTATATGGTAATTACAATATCTAACTAGTTATAGCCAATATTATATAAGTATAGATTCACTGGAGATTAAAGATGGGAAATGCACATTTTGAGCCATGCTATGTGTATCATCTCATTTCATTATTTGGCTCTACATGGAATATTACACATTACTAATAATAATTGCAAACTTCATGATATTTGTAATTTAAAGTTGGATTATGATTATCACGATTATTATCTTATGCAGTGCGAGCATTTAAGTGCGCATAATGTATATGCATGATTGTACACATGCATAGCACGATGCACTTGGTGCCTACCTCCAGTGAAGATCAGATAAGTATTTTTAAAGAAACAGATATGATCAGAAAATATGGATCAGGTCCAAGCATGGATAAGAATCCGTTTTAATCGGATCGAACTCTATAGATAAGGATCTTATGGTCATTTTCACAATAATGAAGAATATTGCATTGATAATTCGGTAGTTTATCGATTCGGTTATTGGTAATTTTTTCAATTTTTTCAGAGCTTATGGTTATACCCAGTATTTAAAATTAAATTTGATTTCATGTTCTCTCAAAAATAACATTTTGTAAGTTTAAATATTATCAAAAAAAATTTTTAATGTTCTCTTCATAAGAAAATTAATTTTTTTTTAATATCAAAAGAATTTTTCTAATGTTCTCAAATAGAGAACATATTTTAATGATTTATTGTCTCAAAAATTGTTTAGCATTCTTTGAGAGCACTGAGAACATCGAATTTTAAACATTGATTATAACTGTAAAATCATCAGTTGGATCGGATTCCAATCCAATTCAGATCTCATCGGGAGAATTAAATAAGTGCAAATCTGCAAAAACCTACGAAAATGCAGATTTTTTTGCAAAAAAACTGCAAAATTTCTTATATTTTGAAATTTTGCGCAGAGTTGTTATTTAATTTCTGTAGCTATAGCTGGTTTTACGCAGATTTTCATTTATTTTATTATTTAATTTTTTTGAAAATCTGCGCAGAACAGCACTAAAAAATTTTTCCCGATGCTAGTATCGAATCTGTGAAAGTTAAAAAATACTGCTAATCAATTCACCGTAACTTACGAATTAAATTCAGAAAATATTTATCATAATCGAATTATTTTTATTCGAGTCACGAAATTAGTTTATTGAAAAAATATTGTAAATTTATTTAACTCGCAGTTTAATTTCATGATTCAAATCATGAAAAATTAGAGTTATTCGAGTTCGTGTTGACGAATCCAGTCACTTCTCAGCTATCACCTGATGCAGGAACTGATATATACACTTATTGTATTCTTTGCTTTGCGCATGAGTAATTTTAGAGTTACGTTATAGCTTTTATTATAAGAATATATAAAAATATATATTATATACATTTATGCAAATTACTGATGCCGAATTTTTATAAATTTTATCAATATATACCAAATAGAATTAAAATGTTTCAAAAAACCGAGATTTTTTTTATTCATTGTTTGTTTTCAGAAATTTCTCATATAATTATAAGTGATATCACCTGTTTTCAATTAAATGTTTATTATCTTTTAACTGAAAAATTGCAAATGATTGAATTATGCTCGAATAAACTGATTATCAAATTTTCTGTACAAATTTTCATTGGTAGAATTTCAATACAAGATTTTTATTGGTTATTGACTTAAAATTTAGAATACAATTTTAAATTTGACGAATATAAATAAAAGTGGAAATAGCGATTACTAATTCTTAATTTTTTATATTACAATGTAACAATATACGTAGTATTGATACTTTATTGCTGTATTCAAAATATGGGAAAAACTGATTTTTTATATAGCTGTGTGGGAAATTCTGATTAAAGGTCCGATTAGAGCGGGTATTGAAAATTCTGGAAGTTTTAATAGTCACAATTGTTGAAAACGGCAATAATCATTGTTTGATTTGCATTATGCTTTTTTGTACTACGATATTAATGATACCAGAAGAAACAAATTTCTGAATTTGAATTTATTATTTTATCGAATTTAGTCTCAATTCAAATGTTACCTTTATCATACAATTTTTTTTCTTTTTTTGGAGCGGATAAACTCGTTATGCGCCTTAATATATAATTATGCAAGATTTGATGATAATGATATACTTCGATAAGAGATGTCATGAGCAGGTTTACTATGAATATGCTTGACAAATAAGTATTTGGTAATCATTATATAATCTGCCAAGTAAACTTCAATTGGCAGGCAATGCAATGACGCCAGATACTTCACATAGTAAGAAACTGGATAATCAATCTTTTATAGGGCTAAATCGCGTCCAATAACTATCTATATATTATTTGGACAAACAAAGGCAATGATATTATTTTATTTCATTATTTTTTTCCAAGATAAATTTTATAAAAATAAATTTAGGAATGACACTTTTTTTATTAAAAAAAAAAAAACCTTTATTTTTCACGTGGTAAATTCAAGATTCATAAATTGAAAATATAAGTACATTATATATCGTCACCATAGCTCATATATGTTAATACAGTTAATTTTACATCGAGGAAGATAATGTTACGAACATTAACTATTTAATAATGTAACAAAACTACGATTAGTTTGTATAAGCGATTGAAAAAAAAAAGACAAATAGAAATAATAAGATTTTTTTTATCAGAAATTTTGTAATATTATATGTACTGTACTATATAATAAAAATCATAAATGTTGCACGAAATGAGTTATAAGTTTGTAGGAGTTCGAAACATGCATGTAATAAAGTTGGCTTAATTAAAAATAACTAAAAACATAATTTGGTCTTGCATAAATGATAAAAGTAAAAGGTAAATATGCATATATTTGCGACGTAACGGGAAAAAAAATGATATAAAGATTTTACGAATGGAAAATTTACAAAGCTTAGTAAGGATAGATGTTTTGATTGCAAGTAATTGAAGAAGTCGCTTCTGTCAATGATTGTTGTGCATTATCATTATGGGTATTAATTATGTTGCCATAACTATCATCTTTCGGAAAAATTGATGGTAATATTGTTGGGGTTGTATTTTCAAATTGGTCATAAAAACAAGGAAATAATATAGGATCCGTTGTAATAATATATTCGGAAGAAAGCGAATATACATTATCACAAGCTTGGGTTTCGGGTAATATATTTCGAAATTGATTCGAATCTGTGGCCTTCAATTTACGATTCCTTTTGGGATTTTTTAACTTCTTTGGACAATGATAGTCCGGAGATGAAAGCATGTATTCCATTTTTTTTTTGTCTGCTAAGTTTTGCCAATGAAGTTTTTCTTCATCCGGCTCTTTCTGCCAAAGTTCTGATAGTATTCTTGAAATTTCTGCATTTGAAATACTACCGTAATGTCGTGTTATTTCTGGTTGTTTTGCTCGTCTATATAAAAGAAAAGAATTTGGAGGGCGACGAATTCTTTTTTCTTGATGTAAAGATGTCTTTATAGATTCATTATTTTTTGAAGAATCTTGTTTTAATAAGGTAATTTGTTTATTCTTATGAGGACGCTGGGGATTAACTCTCATAGGCTCCAGAAATGAAGTGAAAATAAATTTATCCTGCGTACGAATACTGCTATTCTCCAAAGAAGTTGTATAATCAATAGTAAGCTGGGAACCCAGCTTACTTTTAGACTTAGTAAATGATGGTGTAGGAACGTCAAACATCAAAAGGCTACAGTATTTCTTTTTGGCAATTTCATCCATTATTTCTTTATGCCACTATAATGAAAATTGCCTGTCCTTTTATAACTTGATTTTTAACGCATTCATGCACGTGAACAAATTAAACTATCGCATTTTGCCGTAATATTACTGTAGTAAACGTCATACCATCAACCGGGATTTTTTGTTCAAAATCAGATGTGTTGTTCATATTTGGAATCTTCTTTTAATCGGGTTTATAAAGTAATATTCCTATGAGTACAGAACAATTATATAAATTGTTTACTTCTTTAGAACGTGTTAGTGCTAAACTGCACGCACAATTATTCTTTGTTTCCCTGACAGCCTCCATTTGCATGCCGACCAAATGGGAAGGATCTTCCATTACGAAAATACTTGCGCAAGTTCATAAAAGAAGGTTTATACAACATTAACTGCAATATTTAATGTTTATATGCACAAGTTTTAAGTAACTGATTTTTTATCTACTGTATTAGGTAAAATGCTCAACACCCTAAAATTTTAATCATAAAAATAAAAAAAAATTGCAAATTTTTTATAGTACTTATAATAAATAATATATATATAGTATAAAATATAGAAATTATGATATACAGTCAAACTCTTTATAATCACAACTTGGGATATAAAAAAGTGTGACAATTATAGGTGACTATAGAGAGGTTTGATTATATATTATTATTATGATGAACATTAATTTCTTCTAGAAGTCTAGTAATTTTACGGGAAGTTTCAGTAAATTAAATTTCTTGCAATTTATATATAAAGCACCAGCTTTACAAAAGTTCGGCCAGCATTATTGCATCATTGTTGCGATCTGCAAAATGTCCGATTGCATGATTGTAACGATTTTTAGTGAATATAACTACACCTAACAAAATTATGAAAATTACATGTTCGCATTGAATTTTGACTAAGAAGTAATCTGACGCATGACGATAGTCATGCTATGGTTATTATCTCGAGGATCATCACCTACTAAACCCAAAGCCTATATAGAAGGATATAAGGAAGAAATTAGATAATCTATTTAACAATCGATAGTGCTTTTTTCTTTCGCTGCCTGACTTTAGTCTGACTCTCTCCCCCTGGAATCACCCCAAAAAAAAAAAAAAAAGCAGAAAGCAAAGAGAAATAATAATAAATGAAATGGGAAGAATGGAAAATGAGAAAGAGGAAAGAAGTCAGAAGTTATGAACGATTAGCTCGAGGACCTGCGCAAAGGCCTGCTCGGTGAGTTTTGTACCCTGACTCTCGTGCACAAAGCAGAAGGTAGTTTCAAGAACAGTGAACCCAGTAATATCTTCGTGAAAATCACATCACATGATTAAACACTCTCTAAGTTAGGGTTAGTGTTAGGGTTAGGTGATAGTATAGTTTAGGCCAATTTGTTAATGCTAGTAGGTGATAGTATAGTTTAGGCCAATTTGTTAATGCTAGTAAACAAATGACGCCATTTCATGATTTCACATAATGTGATGATCACTGAGTTGAAGTGTTTCGTAACATGTCTCGTGTCTTATAGCTTGTTCAAATGTATATATCAAAATTCAATGGCATGTAGAGTTAGAACCGTAGCGTGACACTATTCCATAGTGTGGAATAAAACTGATTCGAGCGATAATAATCACTTTACATTAGGTAATTGTATAGGTGAGCGGTAATCTATACAATTTGATCAAAAATAAATCATTTTACAAATCGCAATAAATATATGATTCGAATTGTAATTCATCAATCACTGAGAAATCTTGATTATTGCGAGTTGCAGAATGATAAATCGCCATTAACCTATACAATCAACCGCTTGTCGTCCGATTGTGTGAATATTAAGTTACATAAAATCCGTAAATAATCACGGTGTGAATATTCGATAAATATTGTATCTACGTATGCGAATATTCATGTGAAATTTGGCGAATATATTTTACAAATATGGGAGGGTTAATAAAAAAAGGCAATTGTTTTTAGTAAAATTTTTTTTTTAAAATCTAATTAAGATATCAAACAATTATCAATCAAATTTAATAAAGTTATTTCTTTATTTTGATTCTATATAACTATAGAATCAAATAAAAAAAAAAAAATTTATTAAAAAATTTAATTAGAAAAATTTATTTGTTTTCTGCTGACTTCATCCATATCTGTATAAAGATTTGATGAATATCCATATGTAACTCAGTTTATTTATGGATCAATCACGCTCCTATATTCAAATCTATCACAGGTAGAGGTATTATCCGGGTCGGAAAATAGCGACCCGGACGGGTCAAATGTCGACCCGAGTCAACGGGTCATATGGATGATATATGATGTGTGCCTGTCGTAACATACCAACAAATATATAAATCGGATCTTTTCAGAGTTTGTATCGTATAAGCACCATCTGCGCGTTATTTGGATACGCCCATGTGTGTCATTTCGAAATAAGAGTTGACTTTTTTTTTGAATCCAATACAGAATCATGTGAAATATGGCTAATCAAATTATAGAATTTGATGATCCTCGGCGAAATAAAACAAAAAATAAAGGCAAAAAATACAAAAATACAAAAAACGGCAGTTTAAACCTACCTTGGGTAAGTTAATTAAAAATGTCGGAAGGCCATTTTGCTTATATATAATTGTTTTAAACCTAATCTATCCCTAATATAAGATGATTCTAATCCTAAAGTTAATTCAATAAATATATATTATAAGATCTACTCCCCCTCATAAATGAATGTAATTGGAAAAAACTGCTCTTACGAAATGTGCTCTTATGAAATGTAATCTACATATAATGTTACGTTACCAGTGTAAAAATTTCAGCTTGAAAAGTATGTGTGCACTCATATGATCACATGCTTTCTTCATATTAAAGTAAGAAAATTTCATGTGCGATCCTCACATGCGCACATCGAATTTTTTACACTGTACATTAGACGGATCAAATGATGTGCACTAATAGAAAGAAGTGTATGTGAAGTGCACTTATGGAAAGAAAGTGCGTGTGAAGTGCACTTATAAAGGATGCACTTATGGAAGATCGGCTGTGTATAATTTTCCAACAATGATTATATGCTACTCCGCGTTAATTCGAAACGCCGATGGATGCTAATTCGAGACCATATAAACTATTTTGAAGGATTCAATTTTCAAAATAACGCCCATGAGCGTTATTTCGCGCTTATGCGGTATCAAAAATTTCTTCGAGCAATCCGAGTTTATTAGTCTTTATCCATACTACTTGATCCAATTTTTGACTCATGACCTATATGACCTATCAGAAACTGTCCCGTACTGTTTCGGTAAGAGCTTTAGTAAAATTGTAATCTATCAATATGATTATATAGGTACAATATATAATAAACATTAAAATATTATTTTAGCAAATTTTGTTTATTTTAAATCCTGACCCGTTTGACCCGGATTAGAATATATAATAAACATTAAAATATTATTTTAGCAAATTTTGTCTATTTTAAATCCTGACCCGTTTGACCCGGATTAGATTAATTTTCGACCGATGACCCGGGGAATACCTCTACCCTAGATACTATACAATTATAATTACATAGTTTATTTAACTCTATTATAGCTCTGTTATGCATAATTATTTTAGCTCTTGATCGTCTCTTTTACTTCGAGTTACCGTCACTCACGTGACATATATCTTCTGATATTCATTCTTAAAGGTTTGTCCATTGAGATTTACGTAGTGGAAATATTGCATAATGAATTACGGTATATATTGCAGATTTGAGATTTTCGAAAATGAGTAAAATTTATGGTGAGTTGCGTGAAAGGTTCTACAAGGGTAACCATTTATATAAGTATCCGATATCTATGCTCATATGGGAAATAGCGATGGGACAAAGACCTTTCTTTGAAGAAACATTTAATGTAAGACTTGCGATAAAGATTTATTATGGATTACGACTCGTAATCCATTATAAATCTTTATCGCAAGTCTTACATTAAATGTTTCTTCAAAGAAAGGTCTTTGTCCCATCGCTATTTCTAGTGATATGAGTGATGGGCGGGTCGGCCCTCAGCCTGTGGGCCTGGCCGATCGATAAAGATAGGTTAGAATCGATTCGCCAAGAAATTGTAGAGGTCCAATCCGGATAATAAGTCATCCAATTATCCATAACCGAATTTATCCGGATCCATTTACTATTAGTATATGGATAATCCGACAAATATTCGGATATCAATAGTAAAACGGATATCTGAATAAATTCAGATCTGGATATTCAATAAATAAATGGATAAACGGGATAATGGATAGGAACTCTAATTGAATATAAATGTTCATTAATTGGTTAATTTGATAATTTGATAATAGATTGAACATAAAATATGGAATATTCGGGAATGTTCGGTACATACACAATTAATTAACATCAAAAATGATGTTCTTGAATTTCTCAAAAACAAAAAGGATAAAACCTAAATAATTTAGTGTCACTAAAATTTGGTAAGGAATAATTTTACATGTAGATATGGTAACTAATTCTGATTAGAAAAATGTACTAGTAAAAGTTACGTTATTCATGAAGTTCTTATTTTGATATAGTTTGTACCACGGTTGGGCGATCAAAACTCCAATCGAGAGATTGAAGCTCCAAGCGGGTGATTAAAACCCAATACGAATTAATTAAGGATATATAAGGGTCAGGAAGAATGATTGTTAGAACGATTGTTAATGGTATTTAGTATTATTGTAATGATCCGATGTATTGATTTATGTTAATAAAGAAACCCTATAACCTGTAAATTGGTTGTATATCAGAATCCCGACACACAAAATCCCGGCAACAAAATCCCGATAAACAAAATCCCGACAAATTAAAATTCTAAAGATATTAAAATTAGAATTTTAATTTGTCGGGATTTTGTGTATTGGGATTTTGTTGCCGGAATTTGTGTGTCGGGATTTTGTGTGTCGGGATTCTGATATACAACCCTGTAAATTATGTGTGTTAGTTTATCAATCTAAACCTTTTGACCTTAATTATTCTTAATTATTATTTGTTCACGATCGAAGCTAAATTGGTTCAAGACCCTATAAAGCTCGTAACACCGGCCCGAGCTTTTTAGAATCAAACATCGGCTAATAATTTTTTCATCGACCCGTATCACTATTTGCGATCTGAAATTCCAGAATATTATATTAAAAAAATATATGAATAAAAGCTCGAATAAACGGCTGTGCAATCTCAAATTATTGAAGAGTTAGATAGCTTAAATGATAAAAATAGTGTCAAAAAACATTTCTTGGATGCTGATAAAATGTCTAAAACACTACAAATTAATTTACAAAAATATCCGGAATATACATATATTAGCAAAAAAATTGATTCACTAAAAGTATATGAAT